ATCCCCTTTAAACCCACCCTCTTTCAGCTTGAAGCCATTTCCCCTTGTCCTGTTATTATAAATGGATTTCAGGGGCCACCCTGTGTTTACAGTTACTGACAGTATTTAAAGGAAGGAAGGAGAAAAAGCCACAATTTTGTAAATATTTGTAACTTTCTACTTTTCAGCGAAGTTTGCTTTGCTTGTTTCTCATGTTCTATTTAATACTCCAGCATTAACAGGACGAGGAAACTGGTTACATTTACCCTCTCAGAGTTAAAATAAAACATCAAGAAAAACTGAAATTACTCAATATGTAAGGCTCAGCTGTCCTGAATTCCAAATCATGGCTCCCTCCACAGATGGCCAATATCCAAAGCCAGCCAGGCAGACTTTTATCATAATGAAAATTACTAGCTGGTAAAAGGGGCTCCTCACATTAACACCAGGAACCAGAGGGATGACATTCAGATTACCAGACTGTCCCTGAGCTAAGGGGAACCAGATCTTTACAGGTCCCTGCCAGGAGGATGCCAAAATCTCATTCCTTGTGTTTCTGTGTTCTGGTGACAATGTTTTCCCTACACCCAAATCTGCCCTAAATTAACATCAGAGGCAACTCCATCAGCCAGCTGCAGCCAGGGCATGGCCCCAAGGGATGGAGAACACCAGAGGACCCCAAACAAGTTCTGGGGGCACCAGAAACCCCGAGGTGCTGATACAGAGCTTGTCTGAAGAGCATCACAACCAGCACAGGAGAACAAACCCATCCCTAGTGCCCAGGAAATATTGGGATGGAGATGCCCCATCTGCCACAACATGATCTTACACACAGTTCTGAGGGTCAAGCCTGTGCTCTGGTCTAACCATGGAGAGTGAAAGGGCCATTCCCAACAGGTGCCAGGCGACAGGAATGTTTGGTGGGGAGAACAGACAGTATTCCATCCCCCACCTGCTGCACTCCAAGCAATCCCAGCACATCATTCCCAGCAGCATTTGAAGCAGCAGCACAGTAACCCCTGCTGTGCTGCAGCTCCTGATTCCCTCCCTCCCAGAAGGGCATCGTGGCTTTTCCCTGGCATTGCTGACCCATCCTGAGGGAGTGGGAACGGCCCCAGAACTGCAGCGCTGCAGCCCTGGGACCTGCAGGAGCTCCAGGAACGTGCCCAGCTCCCCAGACACTGCCCCTGCAGCCCAGCAGCACATCCCTCCTCACATCCCCGCCCTCCCACACGTGTCACACACTCCGGGCTGTGGGGGAGCTCCGGGTGGGAATGTTCCACGGCACAAACCGGGGCATGGTGCAGATGCTGCAATGCAGCACTTCAGCAGCTCCCACACTCAGCAAACATCCTCTGTGAGCACAGTCTTCTCACTGGGGTCGAGTTAAATTTAAGGTCTATTTGGTTTCCTTTGGGAGAAAAAAAATTGAAGGGAAAAAAAGAACGTCTTCCCAGCAAGGGAACAAGAACAAGGTCTGTTCAGGAGTCGGGGATGAGGGTGAACTTGCTGCATCTCACAGCTCCAGAGAACTGTGACTCCAGGGAATAGCTGGAGCTGTGCCAGGGGAGGGTCAGGCTGGATATCAGAGCAAGGCTCTTTCCTCAGAGGGTGGTTGGCACTGGACAGGCTCCCCAGGGCAGTGGGCACAGCCCCAAGGCTGCCAGAGCTCTCAGGCCAGGGTGGGATTGCTGGGATGTCTGTGCAGGGCCAGGGCTTGGACTGATGAGCTTTGGGAGTCCCTTCCAGCTCAGGGTATCCTGTGATTCTGTAAAACCAAACCATGGCAGGTGCAAACAGCTCCAAACCAACTGGGAGCACCTCTGAGGGGGATGAAGAAACAGATCCTTCCCTGCCGAGCCTGGGCTGCTTCCAACTGACACTGCCCTGGCAGGGGAAGGATCCAACCCCAGCAGGAGCCAAGGGATGAGTAAGGACTGGGATGGGATGCAGACAGAGCTGACTGGAGAAATATTGTGCAAACCAACTTGAAGGGAGCATCACCACAGGCTGTGCCAGATTTAGACCCAACAGAGGAGCTCAAAATCCCTCCTTATCAAAACTGGTTTTACTCCTGCAGGGCCCAGCCCATCATTCAGTGCTGACACGAGACAGGACAGGAACCACAGGCACTGAATGCTGAGACTTTCACTGGGAGCAACTCACCTGGAGCACAGAGGCTCCTAATTCCCACTTTCCCAAGCAGCTTGGAGCACAGATGATTTTGGAAAATAACCCTGTGATCTGCCCATGACTCAGAACCTCTCCTGAGAGACTGGACAGCGATGCTTCTTCCCCCTCACTGCTCTCCCAGGGCCCTGGGGAAAGGACTGCTGGGCACCACGTGGAGGGGGCACTCCTACCCCAGAGGGGCTCCACCACTGCTTGGAGAGCTCAGAGTGTCAGCACAACACAAACTGGAGTTAAACAACAAACACACCAAAGCCCAGGACCCTGCCCAGAGATCACCTCAATCCCCACCGTGACTCACCAGGCACGCAGGAGGATCTGAAGGTGCCTTGTCCCTCACACTTGTTCAAACCATCACCTCCCTCCCTGCTGTGTCACTCAGTGTGTCACTCAATTAGGGAAATGACCAACCACAGCCCCACCATCAGCAACCCCAGCCTGCTGCTCCATCCATCCAGCTCACCAGACACCCTCCCCCAAGGAGAATCTCTGGGCACAGATGGATCCTATCCCAAAGTTTAGCAGCTGCAAGCTCTGTCATGCCAGCCTGAGAGGCACCTTCCAGCAGGGACAGCACTGGCCTCACCCCAAAAACTCAGGTAAACCACACCCCAAAAACTCAGGTAAACCACAACAAAGGCTCTGTCAGGTCAGAGCTCGGCGTGTGCTGAACGTGGAGCTTCTCAGGATGGGATCCTGCTCTGTTAACATCAAACCAGGTCACATTTCTGCATCACTTTCCTCCTGAGCAGCTCATGCCAATTTATTCTCCCTCCCAACGAGGCTGGACGGCGGCGGAACGAGCGGGGACTTGCTGAGCCCACAGAAAGACAAGGTACTGCAGGAGGTAAAACATCTCCTCAGTGTTTGTCAATCCCCCTCTGGGCACAGAGCAAACACACTCCTCTCCTGCCTAAGCACTCTGAGCCAGCTGCCTCAGCAGAGGCTTTATTAAAAAATGTTACACCTCTTGCAGCTTTTGTCCTCATCCCTTTTATTCTCTCGTTCCGCTTCTCGCTCCTCATTTCCCACCTGAAAGACAAGCGAAGTTTCAAATATTCATGACTGCAAAACTCATGTTTTACAGCACATTTTGGAGAATTTAGGCTTTGTCAGCTTCCTAAAGCTGATAACTAATAAAATTCTCAACATAAATCCAGTTTGGTTCAACGTGAGCACGTCACTCGTTCCAGTCACTGGGCATGGTGTCATTTGCTCCTTCAGTCCTGCTAAGTATTTTTGGGTGTTGGACACTGACCTACCAAAACTAGAATTCACTTAAACAAAACAATGAATATATTGGGTTCTTTTTGTTCTTCTGAACTTAAGAGGGCATCACCAACGCATCACCAGCAGGTACCACACACAGACTTCAGCCACAGCGTTCCCTGTGCTCGCAGAAAAAGCCTTGTTCTGGTTATGCTCTAATTCCCCTCAGGGTCTCCCTGACACCTCTCAGCAGGTCAGCACTGCCTCTGGCTCCAGGACTGAGGAGGAGGATCTTAAAATGCTGTGCATGCACAGAGCTCAGTGCTCACAGGGCCCCAGAAACATCTCCACAAAACCCATCCCGGGATTACGTCACTTGGAATACAGGTCGGGAGCTGAATCACCCAGAAAACAACAATCCTGCTGTGGGAAAACGGAGCCGTGCCCCTGTCAGCAACACTCAAATTGGATCTGCTGCGCTCCAGGGAGTTAGGGAAGAGTTATTAAATCAAGGGGGAGAGCAACTGGTGACTTCTGAGCTGCAGGGACCTCATTAGCACAGCTCAGGCAGAGTCACCCCGTCGTGTGGGACGGTGGGCAGTGACCAGCACAAGGACAGAGCTCCCAGAGACTGTCAAACAGGAACCTCCAGTGACTTAGAACAGTGCAGTTCAGCTCAGGATGTGTCTCCTAATGCTAAATAAAACATGCACCCTTAAAGGCAGGGGAAGAGAGGGCAGGGCAAAGCTTCAGCTATTGCTGACTTGTGCCTAACGAAAACGGATCGGGCTGGGGATAAAGGGAATGTTCCTTCTCCCACTAATGAGCTCACTGCTGGCATGGCTCCTGCCCTCCAAGGCTGCTCCCACAGCATGAACACAAACCCAGCTCCATAGCTACCGTGGTGTGAATTCCCTGCTCCTGCTGCAGCTCTTACAGGGGTTACTGTCTGTTCCTGTCCCCAAACCAGTCAGGTCCTGGCTCTCTGATGCTTTCCAAGCCCCAGCAGTAAAGATCCCTACTGGTTCCAATTAACAGGCCAAAGAGCCTTCCCACAGCCCTGATTCCGTAAGAAGAAGCTCATATTATTCACTCACTGGTAGTAAAACACTGTATGTCACTGTATGTGACTGGGAAGGGAAAGTGACTGAGAAGGGATCCAGAAAGCTCACCACAACAGAGAGAAAAGCAAGCTGGGATGAAAAATAATCTCCAGTTCATTGCTGTAATTCCGTGAAATCAAGGGAAAAGGCAGAAGAAGGATTTACACTGTGAATTGTGCTGGAATCATACAAAGGTACCAAGTTAGAGAAATACAGAGATTTAACACACCTGTTAATTAATCACTGACACTGAGGTATAAATAAAACATTTCCTTCCTGGAAAAAGAATTATTTGAAGACTTCTAGAGGTTGAAAACTCATCTTCAGCAGTTCCAGGCATCTGCAGTGCTCCCACAATGAACCACGACGCTTCCCACATCCACCCACAGTGTCTCTCCTCAGCATCCTTTTCAGCCCCCCGTTTTTGTTACCCGTTCCTCCCCCGGCCCTCTGTAGCTACAACCCCCCGGAGACGAGATTCCCACAGGAGGAAGAACTCAGGAGCAGAGTGTTTCTTACCATCATGGCCAGAGTTGAGCAGGTGCTCTCCCAGGTCACAGCCAAACACCCTTTCCTTGAGGATCCCCCTCTGCTTGAGTTTCTGCTTCGTTGGGCGCGACTTCATGAATGTCCGGAGGAAGGTGATGAGCTTCCCGTGCTTTTTGGACACTGCACGACAAAACAAAACCACCACTGAGGTTCAGATCTGGCTGCCTTGGGCAGAGCTTGTTCTACAGAGCACACAGGAACTGTAGCAACACTGATATCAACTATTTACAGGAACGGCTTTCCCGAGGTTCGGCACTAAACAGAGACTTGGCTTTTGCTGTAATCCCTGGCTGGTGCAGAATTAACAGGAGCTGTAAGGGAGGAATTTAACACAAATTTAACACGTTTCTCTGCAGAGCAGCTTCAGGTGGGAGCTGTTTTGGATGGCGGGCAGCACATGGGAGCTGTAATTCTCATCTCTGCAAAAGGAACAAGGCTAAACTAGACAAGCTGGCCATCTCCAGTGCAAACACAGTCTGCAATCTCTACACTGGGGAATAAATGCTTTGTTGCTGGCTCTCGTTCTAGTAGTGAAAGGCACCTCCAGAACAAATGGATGACTAACAGTCTCTGAGGTCAGAGGACGTTTGTAGCACTCTCAGTGCTGTTCCTGCCCTTCCAGCACACCTGTGCTTTCACTGAACCTCCTGCAGCCGGGCCATCCCAGGGTGTTTTCACCTCCTGAGTCTTCTCAAGCCATCACAAAATAAAAACACAGAACCACAGAGTCACTGAGATTGGAAAAGACCTCCAAGGCCACTGAGCCCAACCTCTGACCAAACACCACCTTGTCCCCCAGCCCAGAGCACTGAGTGCAATGTCCTGTCATTCCCTGGACACCCTCAGGGATGGGGATACCACCACCTCTCTGGGGTGAGGTGCCTTTGCTTTATTTAATAGATAACTGGAGCAGCTGATGGAAGAGAGGCAGTTTATCCCCTTCCAGAACAAACACAAGAACCCACAAAGAGAGGAGGACCAGGAGCCCTCCCTCCAAACCTCCCTCTGCCAGAACCATCCAGCCCTGCTAAGGAGAGCTTCATTCCCAGGGGAAGGAAAAGGAGAGTCAGGCAGGGCAGAAGTGGATGACAGGACCAACCTCGGGAGCAGAGGCCGGGCCCAGGTTGAATGGGAGCAGAACAATGCCCTGGAATGTCAACTGCTCTTCCTGAGGCCCCCGGGGTGAAAGCCAGAGGCCTCTCCGACAAAAGTGCCATTGTGTGCATGATTTAAAAGCAGTTTAACTTCAACAGAAGAGCTCTGCCGAAGAGAACAAATCCCTGGGCACAAAGGGCTGAGCTTTGTGAGGGAGCCTTTACAGCCCAGGAAGTTGTAAAGGCTCCTGCGGTACCAGCAGTGGCTCTGCCCTGCTCCTCCCTCACCAGCCACACATTCCACCTGCACCGAACCCACAAACACTGCCACCAAAAGTCAGCTGTGCCCAAGCAGTGACAACCCCTGGGGACAAAGGCCCATCATCCCTTCAGGGTCACTCGCTGCTCACAGGGTGAAATCCAGGGAGCAGCTCTGGAACTGGGACCCAGCACAGGAGAGAAACAGAGATGGCTGGAGAAACACCTCCCACGGGGGGTTCTTCAACCAGGTAACAGGAACAACCCTGTCCCAAGAGCATGGTTATACCACTGCTTGAAGGTTTAATCCCTTTACACAGCTGAGTATTTTTCCTTCTATTTTACCAGGTATTGATGCAGTCTCTCTATTTATATATATATATATATATATAATAAACATAATTCCACTTAATATGTGCGAGTAGAGCAAACTTCTTTAAAACATCCCCTTTAGCAATGTGACACCACCCTGATCCTCAGCACCATCTGAACACCTGAAATCCTAAAATCTTCACCAACCCCACTGTGCATCCTCAGCAATCAAACCCAGATCATTTAACAAACACAGAGCACTGAGCATGACAAACTGTGGCTGGGGGGGCTTTAATTAAAGGAGTGTTTGCAGTTTGATGGGGTTTTTTAATTGCACACAATAAAGGAACAGATTGTGCTGACATGCCAAACAAAGTTAGGACGGGGTCTGGTTGTATCCATCATCACAGGAAAGTGAGGGCTCATTTATCAACTCCAATCAGCCCAGCTCAGGGATAAATGAAGACAGTCTCACCCTGACTTGTGTGGAATTTCAGAAGTTAGCACCCTCAGGCTGCTGTGACAACACTGCTGAAGGTGAGAGACCTGAGACAGATGCTTTAACAACAGGCAAACAGACAAATAAAGCATTTACTGGCACCGATAAAGCAAATATTAACATGAGCATGTTCAACTGAATCATTTCACACACTCCACGTACAGTTCTTCATGAACTACCTTGCTTGACTTAATGAAAAATGAGCCCGTGAGAGAATGGATTTTAAATGGAGAAAAATGCATCTAACTCCAGTCCTGCAGGAATTCCACTACTAATGCTGGTTTACCAGATCACCAAGTGACTTTTGGGTGTCACCTCGGGCCCTAAAACCAGAAAAAAGGTGCAACAGATGCACTTCCATGATCCAGAGAGGTACTACTTGGCTTGGAATCGATGCTTGACTTCATTGACCAGAAAAGTGACCCGAGTTTTTAAAACACAATAAATCTGCTCTGCCTTTAAGCCACTCGGTGCAGGTTAAAATAATTGTCTTGTTTTCTGCACCATTAATCACACTCCCAGGCACTCCCTCCCCTAGTGAGCTGGTGCAGCAGCCCAAGACTGTCAGGGCAGGTTTGGTCCCCAGAAATTCCCTTCTCCAGAGTCCTTTGGAAGGTCTGAATGGCTCCTTGGTCACACACTGCCTGCTCTGGAGGAGACCTTCTCAGCCTAAACCAGGCTCAGAGTGTCAGACCCACACAGGAGTGATTCACTGAGAGCACTGAGGCTGCTCCTGGGTGGGGAAGAACAAGAAGATGCGAGCAGTCATGGCTGTGCTGACAGGTTGTTAGAAAGAACAAAGAGAGGGTAGGTGTGTGAGAAGGGTGAGCTCTGCTCAGGAGCTGTGGGAGCTGCAGGGAAAGGTGAGATCCTCTCCACCCAGGAACAGATCTACCAGTGTTACAAACTAAGCAGATGTGGATAAAACAATCAGCCCTTTCCTGCCTTTATTGCCCCCGTGGTAAAGCAGGGATGTGATTCATCTGCTCCCCTCCCAGCCTGGGTCTCCACACGAGGTGTTCAGGCTGACAAGTGTCACAGTGTAAATTCAGAAACCAGCACTACTAAGAGGTAATTTTAAATGGTTGGCTCTCCCCAGAGATGCTGCTGAGTTACCAATTGACAGCCAAGCCAAACTACACCAATATCCCATTTATTCCTATTACTTTCCACCTCAGATTTAACCACAGATAAAACACATATTATAAAACACATTGTTTACCAAGAAATGGAGACTTTCCTAGAAGGAGCAGGGGCTGCTTTTCCTCAGAAAGGCAGGTCTGACTCAATATCCTGGCCTGAACAAGCAAAGACAAATTCTCCATCTAGTATAACCTGGCTGCTAAAAAACCCCAACCAAAACCCAAATGGAAAAGCCCACCTGAGGCTGAGGTTTTTGCTGGGGTTTTTGCTGGCACAAATGTGTCAATTAGGAGCAAGAAAAATACCTCCCTCCTCAGCTGACATAACTGTGCTGGCCAAAGCCCTCCCAGGGTGGGGAGGGAGGGAAGGAGAAGGAGAACTCGTGCCAGGTAGCTTGTTGAGGTTTGGTAAGGTGCCACGGTGCCTCCCTGGGGGACATTTATTGACCCAGCCGTGCTGTTGATGCTTTACCACCACCTTTGGCAGCGTAAGCGAGGCCCAAAATTCTCCTGACGTGGATAAAAACTGTTAAATAACAATTACTTAATCAAAAGCAGGGCTCCCTCCCCCTCAGACCCTTCAGCATTTGCTCTGTTTGCTGCACAAACCCATCAACCACCAGCCCCTCAAGCAGCTTCCTGCCCTTGTTCAGCACAACATGCTCTCCTGAGTTATCCAGGAACCCACAGGGATCCTCCTGCTGAGGATTCCAGCTCAGTCCTCCAAGCTCAGAGCCCGTGGTGGCACTGCTGTGTGTCCCCACACCTGTCCCTGAGGCTGCTCCGGGAGCTCAGCCACCGCCGTGACCTGGATTAGGAATAATCTGCAGCCTCTGATGCTCTTAGGGTAGAGCTGGAGCAGCCCAGGTGAGGGGGTGGAGGAGCCAGCCCAGGAACAGAGCTGCTGATGCCTCCTGTGCCCCCGTGGGCTCCCTCAGGGGTGCAGCTCCTCGGGATTTACCGCCCTAAGAGCAGAGCACAGCCCAGCAACCCCTCGTGTCTCAGCCCAAACTGCAGCAGTGCCATGTCTGGCCATAAAACCCTTCCAGAGACCACTTCTAGAATGCAATATTGAATCACAACTACAATATTTAATTGCCCAAAGTGCTGGCAACAGAAGGAAAGGTAGGACAGAAAAGAGCAGTGGCTGCCGACTCCTTGGTTTTGATCATGGAGACCAAACAAGGAGAAACCTTTTAACTAACTCAGCCTTACTGTGCCCCCAAAATTTGTTTTGTACAGGCATTTCCTTTCCATTTTCAGCAAGAAAAACCCCACGAGGCAAAGGCTCCAAGAACAAAACACAATCCAGCCAATCCTGCATGATGGGGCAGCATCTCCCATCTGACTCACCCTGCTCCCATCTGACTCACCTGGAAGACCAGGGGACATCCAGATTTTGAACAGGATCACAGAATCCCAGAATGGTTTGGGTTGGAAGGGACCTGAAAACTCATCTTAATGCCACGGGCAGGGACACCTTCCACTAGACCAGGTTGCCCTAAGCCCCACCCAGGATAACGGCAGCTTCCTCCAGGACAACCTCCCAAACCCTCTGCCTGCTTCCCAAACCCTCTGCCAGCTTCCCAAACCCTCTGCCTGTCCCCTCCAGCCTTATCAGCCTTTTTTTAAAGGGAAAACAAACCCCTGCTCCACAAAGAAAGAGCACTGATATTTTGGGTTTGCACTCCTGCCTGGACCAAATCCTCTTCCCAGGGTCACAGCATCACATTTTCTGATGCAGGGCTGGTAAACTTCGACTCCAAGAGAACAGTCTTGGAGGGTGTTTGCTGACCCACATTCCCAGCACATGGC